GACACCGTGGCTGCAACAAGGAGTTCCAACAAAAGAACGATGTGAGGCGGAAGCAAGGCCGGGGCGGGGTTTCATTCTGTTGCACACGGGGGCTCTGCTGCTCAGAACCAACGGACTCAACAGGCACCTAACAAAGACGACGTGTTCCGTGAAGGAGAGAAAGAAGCGCTCGTCTGCTTTATGCTATAATGCAGGGGCGCTCAATACGTCCATCGCGATCTAGAGTCGATCCCAAACGCAGTGTGAGTAGATAGCATGGCATTAAAAAAAATAGATGTAAGCCTATCAGCAATCCCATCACTTAACTGATATACAGCGCAGCCAATCAGACGCAATCTTAAGTGTCAAACGCATGCGCAAACAACCGCGCTAAGTGCAACAAAACTGACAAGCTAAGTTCTCGCCAATTTTTAGACCTTGGTTTTTTTTCTCTTAAACATAAGAAATGGTATTAAAATGAGTGGGGGAGCTGGACCAAGTAAGAAGACAGAAACGTATCCCTTTCATACGGAATGGGAGATTTTGACACTACAAGCCGACATTCAGCGCAAGTCCAGAGCACGTGAACAGTTCTGGAACTTACTCGCAGAGGGAAAGTACCCCAACGTGAGACAATGTGCTACCTCCTTGACTGCATGATTCGGCTCCACTTATTGATGTGAGTCAGCCTTTCCCCCCATAAAGATCATTAAGTCCAAGTCCCGTTCCACCGTGACTGATGATCATTTGGAAGTGTGCTTGAGGCTGGCTGTCAGCAGCTACTGTCCGGACTATGCATCCTGGCTCATTCCATTCAGTGCAAGTCATCAAACTCAGGTAATGACAAAAAATGTAGTTACTTGTGTTGTGTTGTTCAATATGCGGTTATGCCAGGTACACAAACATAAATTGTACATAAAGAATTCTCAATGCATTTATATGAATAAATGTAATAAATAAAAATAAATATGTTTTGCCTTTTTGTAGTTGGTAGATCATTTTGACTTGATCATTTTATAAGTAGCTCGCATGCTGAAAAAGTGTGAGTACCCCTGCTATATGTAATGAGGAAGAATGCTCTCTTTGATCAATGGTACCACCTCAGTGAAAGAGCCCCATAGAAAACAATGGACCTTGAGCCTGACCTTCCACGGTGCACACAAAATGCAATTCTACTATACTATAGTATAGTGTACCATAAACCGAACACTACATGGTAGACAAAATAAAGTCTTTAGTACGAAACAGAGAAGAGTATCTTCATAAACACGCAGTTGACACCGGATACAAACACACACACACACACACACAAATGATTCTCATGTTTTTAAAGTTGATACGGCATAGGACCAGCCCTCGGGCCTTCCTGCCAGGGTGGTTTGGGCCATCAGCACCATGTAATACTGAGAAAGGCAGGGTTGGCTCATGCCCATTTTCCCTCGATGCCAGAGCTCCGCGTGGCCACGTGAAAGGGGGCTTGAGCAGTTGTTAAGGAAAACATTAGCGCTCAGGTTTGACACTTAATTTGCGCTAAATTAAGCGTGGGAGGCATTATCAGCACTTTTGAGACTCGAAGGTCACTTTTCTCCCACGCGTGCTTGCTCCTTGTTTTTCAGAAATTGGAAACGACGGGCCCTCACCTCCCCATTTTCCCTGCCTGGGTGTGGTGCTGCTGCGTATCAGAAATCGCCTCAACGGCTCTTCTGTGGCACGGAGCTGGTGGCAAATATCCAGGCGCCTGCCAACATCAGAGATCCAACGAGGAGTAGATCAAGGGCCCCAGGGCAGGGGCCCACCGGTGACTCCCTGCATCCCTCAGAACCGTGGCAAGGGGGCTTTGGCAAACGGAATTTTCTCTTCCTGTGCCTCATGAGTTCCCCTCCTCCCACCACCTCCCCCTTTCTATGAATACTGCTTCCTGGTGTGTGCCGTGGTCAGTGGACGGTCAGAGACCACTGACTCTTTAGATTGACGTGAATCCTCTAGTCCACGGTGAGAGGCGGAGCTGGAACAAGATCCCCCATGGTCCAGGGGTCGACATAAACTCTCCATCCCTCCCAGGCAGGACAAGTCCTCTAAGGGCCTCTACCTCCTGGCATGCTCTCTGACAGGAGCTCAGGGC